CCGTCCCGCCCCTGCCGCCGTCGTCGAGTCAGGCCCGGCCCGGCCGCGCCGCGAGCTTCCCGAGGTGCGGGACCCGCGGTGCCTGCCCTCGAGCCGGGGTTGCAGCCTGGCGTCCGGCGCAGGGCCACGCCGGTATCCTTTCGCAGGTGGATGGCTTTCCGCGCTCGGGGAGGGGAGCTGTGGGCTGTTGGGAAGAAGAGGCCTGGAGGGGGGCGGGGTGGGAATTGTTTGGGAAGAGTGGGGGAAATCCTGATGGGACGCAGCTGTTCTTGTCTTGCCCTTGGTGGAGAGACACTTTATTTTCCTGCACAGAATGTAGATTAAACTATTTGCCATGTGTGGAAGGCAGATTTTTAAAAAATGTGCCTCTAAGATACTTAGAAATATGGACTTGAAATACAACCCCGGCCAAATTACGTACTAGGTGATGACTATGAACTTTGAAAATGGTGTTTTACTGAATAATTCATTACAAGGATTTTAAATCGTTGCTTCCAGAATGCATTTAAAGCTTGCCAGTTTCAAAACAATGCTTCACTCACAAAAGTGATTAAAAAACAATTTTGTTCCTAGTGACTGGATCTTATGGATAAGTCAAGTTGAGATTTAAGTCCTTCAATAATTCTTACGTACCAATTTTAATATAGCAGTGCCTCACATATCTGGATGTGGGGCGGTGAGCCTCAGTTCTCATAGCAAACTCTCCCAGAATTCACACTCTTAATCACTGCTTATAATTGTGCTTGACATGATGTAGGTAGGTACGTCAGAAGTATTTGTTGAATAAAATAGCTTCGAATGGTAGGACCTAGGGATACAACCAAACTAAAACTGTTTCTTTGGAGTGGGTTCTGACTGAAAGCACCCCTATCAAAGAAAGCCGAGCTGGGTTTGCAAGGTTGTAAATCTTTCTGCAGGCTGGCTGGCCGAGGGTGGGACATTGGCAAGAGAGAACTATGGGACCATCAAGACTTACGGGGATACCAGTCACCAAAACCAGAGATGCAGGGGTTAAGTGTTCATCATATAACCATAAATAAATGTAAACTTAGTGCCCTGGTGGCATAAATGGAACTCAGCAGCTACTTCCTAGAAAAAATATGTGGCAGTCTTTTTTTTTTTTTTTTTAGTAATAAATTATAGCTTCCAAAACCCTATGAGGGCATGTCTATTCTGTTCCATAAATTGAAATCTACTCCAAGGAAAGAGGTTTGGTTGTGTCTTCAGGAACTAATTTTTAAAGATGTTTTGTTCAATAAAAGATCTTAAGTTTAAACCGTGAGTAGCTACAGGGTGACCTTGCCTTGTTTGAAGAGTAAAGAAATACCCTCCTTCCCTGCAAAGGAACACCTGACTGGAGATTTGAAAGATGAGAGGAATTAGTAAAGGGGAGTGAGTGGAGGAGCAACCTATAAAGAACCAAAAGGAGGTGTAAGTGGGTGAACTCAGAGACGGGGGGGGGGGGTGTCAGTAGTGAGGTGAAGTGGAGATTAGGAGATGGACTTTTGTTCTCAGAGCCTAGGGACACTCCAAGGTTGTAGTCAGGGAGTTATACGTAGTAAGCTTTGTTTTCTAATCTCAGTGGGGAGAACCGACCATGAGGACTGTGGAGAACTAGGAGTGGAAATGGAACTGTAAATAGATGGTTTATAAGAATAGGGACAAAAAGATTTAAGATGTGACAAAATCGCAAGCTGCAGGCTAGTCATTGGAGGGGCTAACTGTGGCTGTATACCTCATTTCCTGAGACTTATTAAAATATAATGGGACAGCTGAGATCTAATGCATTTTTTTAGTAATAAATTATGCTTAATTCCCTTCAGGAAAGCTAGGATCCGAGCAGTATTCTGTATACAACCGTAAGCAAAGGACACTTGGTCCCTGACAGCAGAGCGTTTAAAGTGTAATTGGAGGGGTAGACAAGAGTAAGACTTACTATAGAAAGAAAAGAACAGTAACAGTGTTTGAGTAATGGAATTTTGAGTGGCACTCTTGTTACCTTAAAGTTCATGAAACACTTACGTTGTTACTTCTCACACACTTAGGATAACCAGGAAACTTTTTGCGTGTGTGAATTATTTCTGTTCCTTTCTTATAGCCATAATCAGGTTTTTCATTCTTTGTTTTTTAATCAGGTTTTTCTTACTCAGTATTTGTATGATGGTTTTTATACAGTTTTATTTCTCTAGAGGCTATGAAAGTTAATTTTAGTTATCAATTTTAAGTAAGTGACTGGGCAAGAGCTATTTAATGGTAAAGATCATATTTTATCTGTAAGGAGTGTCGAGGTTCTGTCTACAAATGCTACTCTTTCTGAGAGTACCCTTTGGCCCAGACACTTGGATCAGGTTACCTCTTAGATTACCTGTAATGATTATAATTAATTCAGGTACTTCCTTGAATGCCCTCAACTATTTAAACCTTTCTGTTGTAATTTAAAAAGAAGTCAGTTTAGACTTGAAATGCAATTTTTCCTCTGAAACTGATCAGAATTTAGTGACTACCAGAATTGGTTCTTGACTTCTTTTTGTTAGGCGATACATATTTAAGAGAATTTCTGTTCTCTATAATTTGATGATATGAGCATGTAATCATTATTCGTTATTTATCCCGTATGCCTATTCCCTTTTAAAAGAATATGAATTATTTATTTTAGGTTAAAATGAAACTTTTTGGGGGAGGTTATTTAGTAAGACATGGTCAGTGGTGTTTAAAAAGCCACTGCCTGTTGAGTCTATTCTGAATCATGGTGGCCTCTTGTGTTATAGAGTAGAGCTGCTTCGTAGATATTTTTTGGACTGTGATCTTTATAGAAGCAAATCGCCAGGCCTGTTTCTCAGGGCAGCTGGGTGGTTTCAAGCAGGTAAGCACAGATAGTTTGCACCACCCAGGACCCACAGCTTGTGTATTGCTGTTAGTTGTTGTTAAGTCTGTTGTGATCATTGTTGAGCCCGTTCCAATTCTTAGCAACCCTATAGAACAGAGTTGACCTGCCCCTATGGTTTCCAAGGCTGTATACATCTTTATGGAAGCAGACTGCTACATCTTTTACCCAAGAAGTGGTTGCTGGATTTGTACTATCAACCTTCTTGTTAGCAGCCAAGTCCCTACTACTGGGCCATCAGGACTCAGATTAGGTGTAATTCCCCCTCACCTTTCTCCTCCGCACCAAAAAAATTCCACTGCCATCTAGTGGATTCTGACTCCTAGTGACCTTGTATGGGGTTTTTAAGGCTGAAACTCTTTATGGGAGCTGAAGGCCTCATCTCTCTCCCTCAGAGGGACTAGTAGGCTTAAACCGCTGACCTTGCAGTTAGCAATCTAAAGCTAGTTCTAAAATAAATAAATACTGAAGGTGGGAACCGATACAAGGCACTATATGTGACCTCCTCCCTGCAGGATGGACAACAGAAAAGTGGGTGAAGGGAGACGGCGGGCAGGGCAAGATATGACAAAATAATAATTTATAAATTATCAAGGGCTCATGAGGGAGGGGAGAGCGGGGAGGGAGGGGAAAAATGAGGACCAGGGGCTTAAGTGGAGAAGAAATGTTTTGAGAATGATGAGGGCAATGAATGTACAAATGTGCTTTACACAATTGATGTATGTATGGATTGTGATAAGAGTTGTATGAGCCCCTAATAAAACGATTTAAAGAAAAAGAAAAAATAAGGAAGGTATATGAATAACATTTGATGGACCTTTTAGTGCTGTTTGTGTGTCCAGTGGCTTGTTGATCTTTCTTTCTCTTTCTTAGGAACCCATTTTGCTGTTTTCACATTCTGATAGACTGCTGTGAACAATTGTGAAAGTTGTACTTTGAGAAGCAAAGTGTTGCAACTTCTTTTTAATAGTAGAAAATTTATAGTTTCATTCAATGCCTAACGTTGCGGAAACAGAAAGGTCAAACGAGTGTGGAAATGGCGAGCACAGACCTGAGAGGACATCTCCTGAAGAGAATCTGCATGGTGCTGTGAAGTCTTTCTGCACAAGTGCCTCAGGAGCACCCTTGGGCCCTACAGGAGATGGCCATTATCCCTGGCGTTGCCCAGTGACTCATACTAGGGAAAAAGTTTATGCCATCTGCTCAGACTCTGCCTTTCTCAACCAGGCAGCCTCAGTCTATAAAACTCCAAATCCAACACGCTCCTCTTGCCTCACTGATAGTACCGCTCTGTCTTCTGGAACTAGCTCACCAAGATACATTGGCATCCCAACTAGTGCATCAGAGATAATCTATAATGAAGAGAATAGCCTGGAAGCCTTGTCCAGTAGCCTGGGCAAGCTACCTCTTGCGTGGGAAATCGATAAATCTGAATTTGATGAGGTGACCACACATTTGAAGCACAAATCAGGTAAGGAGGCATCATGAAAGTTCATATGTGAAACTAATAAAACTTAATTTTTTTAACTTGCCGTTGCCTATTTTTGTTCCTTTAATACTTAGTAGGAACACTGCTGCCATCTTGTCTTAGTAGTACAGGCATGCATCATTTTACTTATACTCTGTTGCACTTTGCAGAGATTGCGTTTTATAAATTGAAGGTTTGTGCTCAAACCTGTGCGTCAAGCAAGACTACTGGTCATGTTTTTTCCCCAACAGCATGTACTCACTTTGTGTCTCTGTCGTATTTTGATAATAGTCACAATATTGCAAACTTTTTTTCATAATGCTATTGCAAGCTATAGACTCCCAAACCAAACACACTACCTTTGAGTTGATTTAGAAACCCATGATTGGATTTCCAAGACTATAAATATTTACTGGAGTAGACAGTCTCTTAGCCTCATTCTCCTCCCCTGCAGATCCTTGTGAGCTTGAACCACTGACCTGTCAGTTAGCTGCCCAATGCTAACCCTTAGCGCCACCATGATTCCATTCAAAGACCACAGTATAGGGTCAGTGCAACTTGTATATACACTGGGAAACAAAAACAATTTTTCTCGCATTACTTCAATATGTGTTTTATTGTAGTGCTCTGGAACCAAATCCAGCATATCTCTGTGGTGTGCCTGCATAGTTAAAAACAACTACTCGTGGACATTCGACATTTAGTTCTTTAATGTTTTACCTCTAGAAACTTCAAGCATAACATTTGCATTTGGAGAGCATTAAAACTAAGGATACTGTAAAAATACAGGGGAGTATGTAGTAGCATAGACAAGGTTCATGACTGGCTCTGGAATAACATACTACTCTGTTCTTTTGGTAGAACAATGTCATGATTCCTCATTAAACATTTGGCTTTCTTTTCTACCACATAACATTAACTTTTTTTGGTTGAAGTTTTTTTAAAAGCAACTTTTAAAATGCAATTTTCTCATGCACATCTGAGAAAATCATGTAGTGCATACTTTTTGAGCACGGTATTCACCTAGGGTGCAGTTCATCAATTTCCCAACTGCAGTGTGATGGGTCTGTGGCAGCTAATAATGCTCTCAACTCCTTTATTTTGAACTCATAAGAATTTGCTGAGACAAGAACTGCTACGGGTATCTCCATTTTATAGGTAAAGGAATTAAGCCTTTGAAGGTATACTTCATTTGCACAGGTGCACAGTTAGTGGGATGTTGAATTAAGATTTGTATTTTATCCTATGTTTCTCTGATCGTGTACAATACAGCCTCTAACTCATTTTAAAAATTAATTTGTTTTACAGAATGAGTTGTAAATTTTTAATGGTTGAGGATGTGAGGGGCTTTTACTTTGTTTATGTGAGTGATATTAGTCTGTTCTTTTTAAAAAAATAATGTTCTTTTCAGGTTTTGGAATTAGGTTCCCTAAAACAAGTTGGCATTATTCTTTCCTGTTTTCAGAAAGCGTTTATGTAGGATTTGGTGATATTTTTTTCCTAAGCATTTAATAGAACTAACCTCTTCATCCTTTAAAGATAGCTATAGGACTATTTAGGTTTTCCATTCCATTCTGTGGCAGGTTTAATCTATTAATTGGTTGTATCACTAGGTGAATGAGGGGTATTTAAGTCTATCATTATGAAATGGTCTGTATTCTTATTAATTCTGGCAAATTTTAATGTTTCAGTTAGTGACATTTATTGCCATAAAGTTGCTTGAAATGTTTCCTTATTATCTCTTTAACCTCTGTAGGGTCATTAGTGATAGTCTTTCATTTTATCCCAAACTGGTAATTTATGTTCTATCTCTTTTTATAAAATTCTTCATTAATTGAGCTACAGTTTATCAGTTTTAACCACCAGCTTTGAGCTTTGCTGGTTTCACCACTTGTTTTCTGTTTTGTTGGTTCCTGTTGTTATTTCTTTCCTTTAAGTTCGCTTTGGTCTTCATTTTCTAGTTTCTAAGACAGCACCTTAGATCATTGCTTTGATTTTCCTGACATAAGTGAACTGGCCCCCTGTTTTAAAAGTTTGAGGACCCCTGGTCTATAGTGATGAAAGGTTGTATGCACTGGAAAAGACTGCATTCTCCCAAATACTCCATTAAGCCAAGGTAAAGTTTTCATGTCTTTGGTATATCTTGTCCAATTCTATGCAGTTGCTGAAAGGGGAGCTTTAAAAATCTACATTTGATTTAGAGCTGTTCCATCTAATCCTGTTAGGTTTTGTTGCCATCTAATTTGAAGCTCTGTTATTAGGTATGTATAATTAAGATTTTCACATCTTCTTGATAAGTTGACCCTTTCATCATCACGAAATGACTCACTTTATCCCTGGTGGTATTTGTTCTTTGTTTGACAATCATAGAGCTTTTCCAGTTTTCTTTACATTAGTGTGCTTGGTAGTGTAACTTTTTCCTTCCATTCATTTTCAACTTAACTGTGACTTTATATTTAAAGTGTATCTTTTAGAGTCTATCCTGTGAATCGCGTCAATAAAATACTGTTTATTTTAGTTTTGGAGTGTTCATTTGGGTCTTTCCAGTAGTACTTTTCTTCTGAGATTTGCTGTCTTTGCATTTATTACACGAATGCTTTGTCTAGTTCAGTGGTTCTCAACCTGTGAGTCGCGACCCCCTTGGGGGTCAAAGGACCCTTTCACAGGGTCAGTCGCCTAAGACCATCGGAAAACATATTTCTGATGGTCTTAGGAACTGAGACACCGTTCCTCTATTGTCTCCAGGTGGGTCCGCCCACATGCAGATACGCCCACATATGAGTACCCAGTGTGAAGACTGTTTACCCATGCTACACCATGCTTCAAGACAAAATTTCATTTATTTGCAATGAGAAATAAATATTTCACAATATATAATTACATACTGTTTTTGTGATTTAATCACGTTTTAATTATGTTCAATTTGTAACAGTGAAAATACATCCTGCCTATCCGATATTTATATTATAATTCATAGCAGTAGCAAAATGACAGTTATGAAATAGCAGTGAAAATAATGTTATGGTTGGGGGTCACCACCACATGAGGAACTGTATTAAGGGTAGCAGCGTTAGGAAGGCTGAGAACCCCTGGTCTAGTTCATAACACATCGTTTTCATGCTGTTGACTCATCACCACCTTATGGTTCTACCATGTGTTACCTGCTTTAAAGTCATTACCTGTAAAATTCAACAACCTGGTCATATCAAAGCTGGTTTTAATTCTCTTTTATCTTGAGAATGTGTTGCGTTTTTCTGTTTTCTCACATGCTCTGTAACTTCGGGTTTGTGTCCTGGATATTGGAAATACCATAAAGACTGTAGATGCTAGCATATTCTACCAAAGAATGTTGGGAGATTTTTTTGTTTGCTCTTGCTTCTGCTGTTCTTTCTGTCTTTAATTGGTGGGGTTAGCTGGTTGGACCACAGCTGTAGATTCTGTATGTTGGGTAGCAGTAAGCACAAATCTTCTGTCATTTCTTTCAGCCTTAGCGGTACTACTGCCTGGAACTTGTTCTGTACGTGCTTGGTTCAAGGGTCAGCCCAATTTTTAATCCAAATTTGTACCCAGATGTTGAGCTTCCCTTCTCTGCACCCTGCTTACTGAGCACCTTTCACCTCACCTTCCAGTGACTATGATCGCCTTGTGCTTTTTCTGGTATCCTCCCATCTTCCTCTAAAAGCCAGTGTAGTGGATAGAAGTGGGGTTAAGGACGAAGGTTCCTACAATGGACGTGATGAAGGGGTAGGAATCTTCAGCTCTGCTCTATTATATGCCCATCTCAAACTTAGATTTCACCGTGACTTCGCTTCTTTCCCTCACCCTGAGTAGAATTTGTCTTGTTGAACCAATTCTCTTTGTAGAGTATGTGGATTTCATGGTGTGTGTTCATTTGAAGCATATAAGCTCATTTTTCAGCGGGGGAATCATAGGGTTAAACTAGTAGAGAACAGAGGGAAGATTTAAAATATGAGTACAGAATGCTTCGTTTGTCTCTTACATTTTGAATAGATGGGAAAACTACTTAGAGAATTGAGTCATTATGGGACAGTGAAGACATCTCAAGAAATGATTGAAAGAACAAAGTCAAACATTTATACAATTTGACAAGAAACCAGGTTTTCTCTTTCTGGACTTGGGATTCATTAATAAAAAAATTAGGCAAAATGAGATTTTGTTAACGTTTGCCCAGTACCTTGGAGCTTTTGTGCAGACGTGGAAAGAATAACTAAAGTGAATGTGGGTGGGAGGGCCTCATTCTTTAATCTTACAGTCTTCATTATTATGACATTCAAAAAATGATAGAAAACCACCTTGGAAATACCGTTAATGAGTACTTGCTTGTTTCTGGCTGTCAGATTGTTCCATTGAATAAAATATAATATGGGGAATTCCACTTCTGTTTTCTAGGATTTTATCTATAATACATATATTTTAAAAATTAAGAATAACTAGTAATAGTAAAACTCTAGTCTCTAGTTAATTTTTTTAACTTAAAAACACGTTTAAATCTTAATTTTGTGTGTGACAGTTCTAAGACATGTTCAGTGCTTGAGTGCCTGGTAGGTGTCATGCCTGGGGCTCCATTTTCCAATGACCCCCACCAGATCCACTCTCTACTGTGGGGACTACTACCTTCCCTGGGAGACTGGCCTCTCCATTCTGGGTTCAACCTTGCTGCTTCATGGTCTTTTCTTGTTTCTTCCATACAAGGAGACGGACGGGCTGATGCTCTCTGCTCGGACCTCGCCGCAGCTGGCACCCTGTGTGGAGCGGGCGAGCATGGGTGCTGCACATCCCTCTGCCTCCGAGCCCTTCGGCCGGTCAGGGCAGGAGCCATACAGGACCGCCCTCTAGTTACTTTTTATGACAGACTTGATTAAGTAAAATAGAATATGTACAGAAGCCCAGCTGTTCCCTGGGAGAAAAATGAGGCTGTCTACTCCAGTAAAGATTCACAGCAGATGGTCAGAAGAGTATAATATTTGGTCATAACTATCTGAAATATTAATAATATTTTAGTGAGGTGAGGCTTGCATTTTATTTATTTTTAAATTTTTATGTGATTTTTGACTGGGTAATCCATTAATATGGATTAGAAATAAGTTTAAAAAGTAAAGTATAAAGTGTAAAGTCTCACTCTTCACTCTTGTCTACCTTTTGTTCAATTTCCAACCTCCTCTTGCCCTATACCCTTCACCTCCAAATAAAAAATTCTTAGGTAACCACTGTGATTTGTCTTGTGTTTTTCTTTTGGAGAGATGTGTGTGTATGCCTGTGGGGCATGCATGCATACACACACACACACACACACAGACAGACAGAAAGGAGTCTGACTTTTTCCATTCCAGCTCCTGAAGCTAAAGTTGGATTTTAATAATGTACACTTGTGCATCATTCTTCATCTGTTTAGTGGTCTCTGTGGGCCTGGAGATATTTTTAAACATCCCATCATCACATTATTGGACCTAATGTGTTCAGTTTCTTAACAAGAGTTGCACTAATGTGGTCTTCATGTTTATGGAAAGGATTTGTTTTCTAGAAAGTGCGGTTAAATGTCTTACTGTTGGCAGTTTGATTTTCTGGATAGGACTAAAGGTTGTGCTGTTGATTATGCAACCAACTCTGGAATTGGAATGTTAGAGTTTGGTGCGAAATAACGTTTATGATTATTACATTTATTTTCATTTTCTCTTTTAGGTAGGGCAGTTTTCTTGAAGATACTTGCATCATCTTTGCGAATATCACTTTTAGAACTAGTGACGGTTTTAAATTCTGAGGCGGATTAATTTTATGGTCTGTGGCAGTTCACATATTAAGCATTTTGCTCATACTATACTCATGTTTTTTAGGCAATGTGAAGAAGCAAATTTCTAAGAAAAAAACTTCTGATAAAAAAGGAAGACATCAGAGAGAGTGTCTTCAGCATTCTCCTCTTGAAGACATTAAACAGCGGAAAGTATTAGACCTCAGACGATGGTAGTTGTCATGGCAACTTTTAATTTTAAAAATATTTATTTGGGCAATAATTTTGCTGTTTACCATTAATACATTCTACATATTTTTCATTCTAAAGTTCTAGGATTTCTAAATATTCCAAGTGTACCACAAATATTTGAAGTAGATCAATACTGAGCTGTGCCATTGTTTCCCAGATGTGCCTAGTCATAAGAATCATTCTATATTATTCCAGATAAGTGATTTCTGGATTCACAGTTGTGAAAATTTTTATATTGTTACATGCTTTTGGGGGGGGCTAAAGAATTTTAAAGTAAGTTATAGGTATCATTAAATTCACCTTGCCCCAAATAAAATAATTTTTAAAAATTCACCTCAATTTACTTAAGAATGCATCTATAAAAAATAATTTTAAAATATGTAGCCATAGTGCTATTGTCATAGCTAATAAAACAAATACATTTCATTCAGATCCAATTTCTAGGCCATATTCAGATTTCATAGATTGTATTAAAAATGCCTTCACACGTGGTTGTTCAAAGTGGAACCCAACCATTAGCCTACATAATGCTAGTCTATACTCTCTTTATCTAAGAGGAAGAATCTTAATCCCCTAATTCCCTTATCACCCATTACTGTATTTCATTTTGTTTTCAGGAAGTTAACTCATTGAAGAGATTTAGCTTGCTATCTTGTAGAATATCTTACCTTCTGGATTTATCTGATTTTTTTCCTTTTAGTTTTCTAACTATTCATCTAACTGCCTGTAAACCTGAAACTAAATATAAAGGCTTGATTAGATTATGCTTAAAGCAAGAATATTGCTTGAGTGATGTGCACCTCATATTACATCAGGAAGCACTGAATAGTTAGTATTAATAGATTATAAGCATTAGGCTGCTAAACAGCAAGGTTGGCAGTTCAAACCTATCAGGTGCTGCCCAAGGGAGAGATGAGGCTATCCGCTTCCATAAAGATTTTCTCAATTCACTGCCATCCAATCAATGCTGCCTCATAGTGACCCTCTGAGTTTGAGATGGTGACTGTTTATGGAAGGAGATAGCCCAGTCTTTCTCCTGCTGCTGCTGGTTGGAACTGCCGAGCATGAGATTGCATCCCAACGTGTAACCATTACACCACCTGGGCTCCGTATAAAGATGTACAGCCTTGAAAATTCTATATAGGGTGACTTTGTGTTGGAATAGGCTCAATGGTGGTGCATTTAAGAGTGATTATGAGATTAAAATAGTGACAATCAACTATCCCTTGATTTTTTCAATTCCCCAGTGGCTTTTTTTCAATAGCAAAATTCATTTCTTTGCATGAGTTCTTGTTGCAAAGGGGTAATCTTTCAGAATTCTTTCTACTTTTGTTAGTAGGCATTCATCTGATTTAAAAAAAAAGCTTGACTAGACTATTAGTTTTCCTTGTAGTATGGCTTTTATTTAAGGAATTAAATGCTTAGTTCATGATAACTTTATTTGTAATCTCTTGATTTGAATTTTTTAAAACGTGTGAGGTTTTAGAAATAACAGGATGAGGTTTTAGAAATACTGTTGACAGTAGCCTTTATTAGGGGCTGAAAATACAAAGAAACATAAGACATGACCTTTGCTCTTGTAAGGTTTAAAGTTGAGAAGATGTTGGGACCAAACAGAAAAATATAAATAACCTTAGTAATTTCCCAAATGATTGGTGTGAATACATTTAGCATGAGAGGAGCTCATGATCACCAAAAAGCTTTGCCAAGAAACTGGGTTCTTTTTTTTTTTTTTTTGAACTGGGTTCTAAGGGAGTAAATAAAACTCTTATAAGGGGATGGCAAGTTATTACAATGAGCAGACCAGCTTATCTGGAATGAGGCTCAGAGAAGCTTAGTTTGCTTAATGGTAGATTTGTACTGCAAATAAAGAGAGTCAAACTTCAAAATCCCTTCTCTCTCTCTCTCACTCACTCTCTCTCTCATTCCACCATCACTCCTCATCACACCATCACTCTCTCCACCATCTCTCCACCATCACTCCTTTCTCTCTCTCGCTCTCATTCTCTCTCTCGCTCTCATTCTTTCTCTCTCTCTCTCTCACTCTATCTCCACCATCACTCCTCATTCTCAGCACCATCACTCCTCCCCTTTTGCTAACACAGCACGATCATCTATTTATTGGCTATTATCAGGTTAAGGATGTAGATTTCCTTTCTTCCTCCCTATTTTGAGGTGGAGAGAAACCATGGGAAATTTAGTGGTAAAGGGATGGATATTTTACAGAGATAAATTGGTAGTAATTCATATGTAGATTGTATTGTAGAAAACTATAGTAAATAACATAAATTTTACTTTCTTTTGAGAAAGGCTTATTCTATTTTAGTTCCTGTCTTTGAACTCAAGATTAATTTTAAAAGGAAAAAAAAGAGAAAAGGTCTGAAATTCTATTTCAATAGTATAAGATGTAACCTAATCAGGGCTTGTAGAAGGAAGGGCAAATGGGAAATTGTCTTGAGGGGAAAATCATCAAAATGACCGCTTGATCCCACTGATGATTAAAATACAGGATTAGCGTGGGGTGGAAAGAGCTCTAGCAGGTAGTAGAATGTCAGTAAAATGTAAAACTGGTACGAATGATATCACTGAAAAAGTTTGGATTATTAAAGAAGTATAACATTTCTTGAAGGTAGCCTTTTAAAAAATTCTTTAAAGCCAAATTTAGTTTTATAAAAAAAATATATGCATGCATGTAATAACTTTCTAAATATATGTTATTATTACTTTGTTTTATTTTTGAATCATTTTATTGGGGGCTCTTAAAGCTCTTGTTACAAACCATATGTCATTTGTATCTGACATATTCATACAAATATTCCATCATACTTTTCTAGACATTTACTTTCCATTGAGCCCTTGGGATCAGCTCTTATTTTTTTTCTTTTTCCTTCCCTCCTCCCCGTCATTATGATTATTTTTATCATGCATGAAATATTATATTATGTTGAACTTTTAAGATAGTGTTTATACTCCAGTATAAATCAGGTTTTTTTAGCACATTTTTAATGCACTTTTTGTGGTAAAATTAAGTGCCTCAGCTGATATTCTGGTTGGCTTATACTCAAGTATATATATATGGTAATCCTAAAGCTTAAACTCTGGCTAAAAATATCCATAAAACCAAAACCACACTACTACCCCTTGAGTCAATATGACGTACTGTGACCCTACAGGACAAGGTAAAACTGCCCTTCGGGGTTTCTGAGACTGTAACTGATGGCAATAGAAAGCCTGTTCTCTCTCTCAAGAGTGGCTTGTAGTTTTGAATTGCCGACCTTGCATTTGGCAGCCAGTGTATAAGCACTACACCACAGGGAGATTTAAATATGGTAGAGAAGAGGCAATATTTAGGGTACTAATACAAAACCCATGAAAAGAACAACCACAAAATGAGTAATAGCAGGGTAGGATTGGGGTGGTGCTGGTAGGGACTGCATCTTTCTTGAAATAAAGTGGCAACATATTCAAACCACAGACTCTCAGACATTTTCTACCTAAACTGTGTACTCTGCACTCACAGAACTGCACAGCCCACTGCTTCCTCCAGCAGGGAAGATCCCTTGGTAGTATGTGTCAGGGTCCTGAAAGGCCCATTCCAGGTTCCTTTTGTTAGAGTGACTATATGTAGGAGTGTGAGCCACCCTAGATCTGCTCACTGTAAGTTGAGGGGAGACACCAGTGTTCTTTGTGCATCTCTAGTGCAGTGCTTCAAAAAATGCAGGAAGAAATGGACAGAATGAGGCACCATGCTAACTGCTACTTTATTCTTACCACCTCCTTTCTCTGCGAGGACAGCCCCTGCTGAATTGGGGAAGGTGGTGAAAGCAAAACAGGCTGCTTGTGTTTAAGTGTGAGAACACCTCTACCCTCTTACCAACGAAGGAAGACTTCACAGTGTTGGTGTTGAAGACAAGCATTGTGAAATGAATCATTCTTCAGTAATAGCTCAATTGCATGCTCGTGCTTGTTTGCACTCCCGCTCTCACACACACACAAATATGTATACTGTACTCATACAAGAGACAAGTAAAACAGCCCCCTGTCATTGAGTTGATTCTGACAGCAATCCAATATAGGTTTTCTCAGGCTCTGAATCATGGAAACTTCACCTATCTCCCCACTGCTGACCATGAGGTTAGCATCTACTACTCTGACCATGAGGTTAGCATCTATCTACTCTGCCAGGTTACCTACCTGGCAGAGTAGATAAAGAGGGATAACAGACATAAGAGATCCAAACGTGGCATCCCTGAGGAAGAGATCTGAACAGGTAAGAAAATACTTAAGACTGAAAAATGTTCCCGAAGTAAAGGAAGGCTAGTGTCTAGATCAGTGGTTCTCAACCTGTGGGTTGCAACCTCTTTGGGGTCGAATGACCCTTTCACACGGGTGGCTCGATTCATAACAGTAACAAAATTACAGTTATGAAGTAGTAATGAAAATAATTTTATGGTTTGGGGGTCACCACAACATAAGGAACTGTATTAAAGGGCCGTGGCATTAGGAAGGTTGAGAACCACTGGTCTAGATTGACAGGGCAAATTGTATCCCGGAAAAGAAAATTGTTACCGACTCTTCACTAAGGTACGTTCTTATGGAGTAACTGAACTTCATAAAGACCTAGAAAAACAAATTGTACAAGAAGAACATACCCCTTTAGTCTCAGTCTTTACCTTCACAGCAATGAGCTGCCGGACCATGATGGAGTTAACGGTTCAGGAAGAGGAAACACCCAACCAAGAATTTTATATGCAGTTTGTCACTAAAGTGTAAAAACCACAAGACTTGTAATCATATAAAACTTTAGGGAATACTCCTTTGTTAAGGAGCTGTTATTCTCTGTAGGGATTTAAGCCAACCAAGTAATGAAAAAAATACAAGAATGAAAAAGTAAGGGGAAAAAGTGCTGATGAGCACTAAACCCATTTATAGGAATTTTAGTTACAGAACAGAATGTTCATTAGAACTACATACATAACATGGAGAACGCATATCAGTGTGAAATACAGCTATATAATGAAACCTTTTAAAACTAGGGTCATTTTGTGTCTTAATTCATTTTTAAAGAGACTTGCAAATATATATAAATATAGTCATCTATCGATAACACTCTATGAACATAAACTAATTTTTAGTCTTCCCTAGGTGATGACTTTTATGTTAAATGACCATTATTTTGTCTCTCAGAGTGTTACTATCTTTTCTATCTTTAGACTATAGATAAAGAGACAAGTCATTGTTTTAACAGATAATTTTCTTTTTTGTAACTTCTCTGGTAAGACTAAAACTGCTTAGTGATGATAGGTTTTGTATCATCGTTTCATTTTTACTACACAGTAGCACTTTGATTAGAACGTATGTAGAGAAAAATAATTTTAAATTTAACTTTAGTTTTTCCTTAAAATTGAATAGGTTATTTTCTGTATGCTTTTGTCCCTGGCACTTCTCTTGACACATGGGTATTTGGAAGACATAATGGGTTAGTTTGCTCCACTTTTAAATCTTCCTCGACAGTACAACGCTTGGCCCATGGCTTTTTACCCAAGGGTTTTAGATAACAGTACGAGTTGCTGTGGAGTTGATCCAGACTCATGACATTCCCGTGGTGTCTGAACAGAACTGTGTCCCCATGGGGTTTTCAGTAGCTGCTGTTCTCAGAAGCGGGTCATGAGGCCTTTCTGGTTTGCAGCAGCAAATACTTTTTGCATCACTCAGGACTTCCTCAAAAGACACCAAACTGAAAGGCCTCGGCAGTTGCCTTCAAATTCTGATTCACAGTGACACCCTCTGTGTGGCAGAGGAGAACTTGGCTCCATAAGGTTCCAATGGCTATGAGCTTATGAAAATAGATGGTCAGGCTTTTATTAACAAAGGGCCTCTTAGTGGATTCAAACCATCAATCCTTTGATTAGTAGCCAAGAATATAAGCTTTTGCGCTGTCCAAGTATGCCTTAAATATAACACCCCCTCAAAAAAAAAATTCCAAAGAAACTAACCCATTGCCTCTCAGTCGATTCTGACTCAAAACCTTGGTGGTTATGAACAGCTAGTGGTTCAAGCCACCAACCAGCCTTTTGATTATTAGCAGTCAACTGCTTTAACCACTGGGCCACCAAGACTCCTCAAATAGACCACAAAAAGCCAAACCCTTTGCCACGGAGTCGATTTTGACTCAGAGACTCTCTAGTATGGACTAAGGGAGCTGTGCCATAGGGTTTCCAAGGTTATAAATCTTTACATAAACAGAATACCACACCTGTGGGTTTGAACTGCCAACCTTTCAGTTAGCATGCAAATTCTTTAATCTGGGCCAGCTTCAAATGGACATCTCACTAACTCACTACCATTGATTCGATTTTGACTCATAGCAACCCCACAGGACAAAGTAGGCCTGGACTTCTGAGACTAAATCATTATAGGAGTTCCCAAAGCTTCATCTTTCTCCTGTGAAGTGGTTAGAGCCCCTTTTGCAATTCACTACACCACAGGATGCCTTTGATAGTAGGTGATAAATGAAGGTTTTAAAAATTTAAATCAAAGAATCTTGAGAAGCAGTTGAATGGGGCAATGTATTTTGTTTTATCCAATATTGATGTTGTAGATACCATGTGTTCAGCCTAGTTGGGAATTTACATAAGATTTTAAATAGTATCGACATTTGCATATAATTTTCATTGTAATATTGACTTTTAACAAGGACTTTAACAAGGACTTGCTCATAATTAGCTATCTTTAGAGGGCAAGTGATTTTTTGTTATGTATTCATGGCTGATACTTAATATGAAAGTATTTTAAGGGACTAAAACTTTTACATTAGTTAACATGATCAAAGTTGTAATTGCGCTATGATTTGTCATAGAATTTACATGTTTTTTTGCATATTTTATTGCATATGTCTTGTGGTCATTCAAGTGAAGTTTTCCATTTTTCTCAGGTACTGCATCAGCCGGCCACAATATAAGACTTCTTGTGGCATCTCTTCATTGACTTCCTGCTGGAATTTCTTATATAGCACAATGGGAGCTGGAAAGTACGCGTGTTAAGTAATGGTTACCGCACGTTTCACTTCAAAAGGAGTTTGGTGTTGCTTTTCTATGATGCTGGATGTTTAAGAGTAGATTTTTATAAACTAAGAAAAAATTGCTATACTTTGTTACAAGTCTTTTAGCTTAAAATGCATATACATAATATTTTTGATACAATAAAAATTAATTAAGATATTCCCAAATTAATTGCAATTCAGTCCTGCATTAAAGGTGAAAATGATTCAAATTGTACAATGAAAGGTAATGTTTTCTTTTTGTAGTCTTCCACCTATTACCCAGGAAGAGGCTTTGCATATTTTGGGCTTTCAACCCCCATTTGAAGATATTAGATTTGGCCCTTTCACTGGAAATACAACACTTATGAGGTAGGAAGCCCCCACTTCGAGGCAATATCTATTTCTATGGTAAAGAAGAATTACTAGAGATATGTGATACATAATCCATGTGTCTAGCTACTTTGGACTATACCTCATTTTCTTAGAACTGGAATAGTGCCCTCATTGTAACTGAATTGTTAATATGAGTACATCTTGTTATTTTTAGATGGTTTCGACAAATAAATGACCACTTCCATGTAAAAGGATGTTCTTATGTCTTATATAAACCTCATGGAAAGAACAAAACAGCTGGAGAAACTGGTAGGTTAAAATACAGAATTTTATACACACAAACAGATTATAAACCCATTCATACATACCTGCTTTAGATACATCTCAGAGATGCCTGTCCTTATTCAAGAGCTGGTGTGTAAACCCTAAACACAGTCTGTTACTTTGTCTCCATGATCTTTAAAATAGTTTCATTGTATGGTTTAGCACTTTTACCTCTTCTCATCCTTGCCTGTTGAACTTTAAGCCATGCCAGAAACACATCTCACACAGTATTGTTTGGTCTGTGGGGTACGTGTGTAAACTTTGAGGAGCAAACTTTCAGGAATTTCCTGAAAAGCTGGAATGGACTGCTAAAATGACAGAGTTATATTAGTCTCAGTTATAACAAAGACCAATGGAGTTGATTTGACAGTTTGTTTTAAGTTATGTGCTAATCAAATCATTTGTATTACTTGGTAGTCTCCATTTTGCAATCTGTCACAATGATCTTTTGATTTTACTTTGTACTAAAGTGAGAGTATATGCTTACCAAGGTTAAAAATAGAACAAAAAATGAGATATTTCTTTTGGCCTATAGCTGGCATATTCTATTGATTAAGAGTTAGACAAACTTGGAATTTCCATCTTGGTTCCTACACATTATTAGTTTATGACCTTGACCAAGTCACTTAGACCCTCACTTTCTGAGTCTCAGGCTTACTGTGATGATAAAAGAGTGTATATTTGCCATGTGCTAAATGCCATGCTTGACAAAGAGTTAGAAGATTCAATACATGTTAGATATTATTATTACTGACTGAATTCTGTATGTTTGTACCTTCCCTGTCCCTGTAGAAAGGGAATCTTTAAATCATATCTATTTTTTTCTGTTTCTAGCAAGACTGCTGACGTACTTCTTAATAACTGATCAAATGGGAAATGCATGATATTTTCCAGGTTCTTAATTTTTCCTCTTCTGCCATGTCTCGTTAGCTTTGTAAATTATTCATGGAGTTTGAATAGATAAAATGGAATCATATTTTTCACTTAAAAAAAATGTCTGTCCTTTTCTATATCTGCTCCCCACCCCCCAGTAGTTTCTTGTTCCTAACTCAAATTTCTGACAACTTTCATTGCCATCGAGTTGATTCTGAATCATAGTGACCCTATAGGACAGGGTAGAACTGCCCCTCTGGGTTTCTGAGACTTCAAGTTTTTTTTTTATAATTATGATCTTTATTAAGGAGTTAACAGGTTACAAATGCTTGGATACAATCATTATAATAGGATAGCCTCTCTCAGTCATGCCCATATGAAGGCCTTCCTCTGTCTTGGATCTCTCAAACCTACAGCCAGTTGGTTTCTACCCTGTTCATGCAATGTTACAAAGCTCTTTTTTTTTTTCCAATCATTTTATTAGGGGCTCATACAA